CTTACAGCCCCTTGAAACTAACACTGTGAATTAAATGTGGTACCCAAAGAGAGACCCTCTGCGCTGTGCTGGGACAGTCCATGGCTATAAGAAAAAAACACCATCTATTGGATTGAACTACTGGAACCCACACTTACTAGCAGAGAGGAAATACTCGTCCCCTTGCGGAAGAGGCTGCATTATGGTAGCTCCTTAAGTCATCCCAGGTCAAGCTGAGATACCAAGAGCAGAACACACTCATGTGACATTTCGTTCAACAGTCACGACAACAACAGTACGAGAGGAAGAAGGCCATGAGGTGGAAAATCTGGAGCTGACGGCCACTCTGGTGAACGGCCAGCTTAGTTACCCCAGGCAGTGCACGTGTGAGAGAGATAAGACCCTGCACGCTGAACCTCACCCCACACCGGGGGCTGAAGGCCCTCCCTTGGGGATCACCCCGCCCCCAGCTCAAGTCCCCTTGGTTTCAGAGGAGCCCCACCCAGCAGCCTCTGTGTGGGTAATGCCAGGGCTGTGCTGATGGGGACAGACATGCAGGCCGAGGAGTTGCTCTGGCCTTGGAGACGCATTGGTCACACTCCCTGAGGTCACACCAATTGACTGGGAAAGGCAGTGACCACAGGAAGCCTTTCAGAGGAGCCCCACCCAGCGGCCTCTGTGTGGGTAATGCCAGGGCTGTGCTGATGGGGACAGACATGCAGGCCGAGGAGTTGCTCTGGCCTTGGAGACACATTGGTCACACTCCCTGAGGTCACACCAATTGACTGGGAAAGGCAGTGACCACAGGAAGCCACCAGTGTGAGCCTGAAAAAGCGCCATGCCATCCACACAGTGAACAGCCACCAGGCCACTGACACACAGTGACCAGAGAGGCTGAGCCCCACCCATAACAAACAAAAGGCTTACTTGTGTCTCGGCTGCTGAACGGCCACCCCGGCGCTGGAAGGAACGAGGGCACCGGGGAGCCGGCCCGGCTGTCGTCCTCCACCTGCTGAGTGATGTGCCGGACAGTCTCTTTGTTTTTCCGATTCTTCCTTCGGCCCGTGGGCTGCCAGCTGTCTGTGGCACCCTGCTCGGAGAAAGAGTTCCGTATCGCACAGTCCTTGGCAGAAGGCAGCTCACCCCCTCCGTAGTGGGACGGTGAAATCTTTTCCTCCTTGATGTGCAAAGACCCGTAGCCCATGTCCCCAGGCCACAGCGACTGTGAAGAAACATCATCAGAGCCATCGGCCTTGGGCTCCTGATCCTCCTTCCCGTAGCTGCTCCCTCCTTCGTGGCAGCTGGCGATGGCCGAGTCTCCGGAAGAATTGGCGGGACTCATGCGCCGTGCCAACCACGGTGAGATGCTCCTTCCAGCCATCACGGCCGAGATCAGTGCTTCCGTGCTGCTGCTGGATGCGGCGCCGATCTCGAACTCTGCAAGTTCATCGGAGGCATCTGATTTGATGCTGATGTCCAGTGCGGCCTTGATGAAGTCGTGGCAGGCCTGCACGATGTCCGTCATCTGCAGGAAGCTGGCAGCAGACATCACCTCAATGACGTTCCTGCTGGTGAGGGCCAGGTGGGCAGAATACATGAAGTCAATGATGGCCTTGAAGCCCTGGGCAGTGACGATGTCCAGGTGGGTGACCGTGGCCTGGTCAGACGTCTTCTGCACCTGGCAGTAGAGCGTCTTGAAGTAGCGGCTGCTCCCAAGCAGGACGTTCTTGTGGGCCTTGAAGACCTTGCCCTCCACGACGACACAGGCATCGCACAGCACTCCGTGCTGCCTCTGCTCGTTGAGCTCACGCAGCAGGTGCCGGTAGTGGGACGCGATCTCCATATCTTCCTTTCGGTTGTTCATCGGGGAATCCTGGTGGTGCCTCTTCTACAGACTCTGCAGGGGTGAGAATGGAAGAGTTACCCACACGCTCAATGTAAACAGACGCTGTCAAAAGCAGCTCAGGCGGGCGCGAGGTGGAGGCACTACCTCACGCACAGCCCCTGCAGGGCATATGCCATGTGGGGACCCCAGCCGCGAGCCAGGACTGAGTGGACACGAGGGGAGAACTGCCCACAGCATTAGCCCATCCGCAGGACCAGAGCACAGGTGTGCAAAGACACACCTGTGCCTTCACCTGCGCAGGGCAGCAAATGCTGGAAGGGGTCCACGTGTCCCCGGACGGGCGTCTGAGGTGAATTTCCAGGCTGGAGACTAACCATGGCCATAAAGCACAACAGGTTTGGAATAGGATCCTACACACCTATGAACATACACCAGAAACAGTGAAAACACCGTCAATAGGTGAAGCAACTTCTTACCCAAAATGAAAACCGAGGTCAAATAACCCATGCTGTGGCCTCCATCCCTCACACTTGAGGAAACATCCTTTAAAGAAATTAAAAAATAAAACTTCCTGTGCAGAGAAACCACAGAGCAATATGGACTTAAAGCAGACATGCGCAGCTTTACCCCTAAATATTTCCAGAAATCTGAGCTCAAACCTGCTCCACAGGCTGGGAGATTCTGGCTTATTGCTGGAACCAGCTCAGCCCTGAGAGGTTTCCTGTGCCCATGGAGCCTACGAGAAGCCATCAGAATCTCCCTGTCACTCCCATGTCAAGAGGCCCTGCTTTGTAGAACCTTAGGAGACCTTCCCCAGAGTTTCTCCTTAGACCCAGTTTTCATGACCGTTCTGCCTCATTTTGTTTCTTATTGCTGCCTGTATTCCTTTCCTAGGGCTGCCATAACAAAGGACCACAGAGTGGGGGGACTAAACAACAGAAATGTATTCCCTCACAGTTCTGGAGGCTGGAAGTCTGAAACCGAGATGTGAGCAGAGATGGGAAGGCCCTGTTCCAGGCCTCTCCCACTTCTGAGGTGGCCGGAGATCACTGGGGTCTGTGTGGAGGCATCCCCATGACCTCTGCCTTCGTCTTCAAGTGGCATTCTCACTGTGCGTTGTGTGTGTGTCCAAATTTCCCCTTTTTACAAGGACACCAGTCATATTGGGATTAAGGGCCCACCCCAATGACCTCATCTTAACTAACTGCATTTGCAATGACCTTATTCCAAATACAGTCACACTCCCAGGTACTGAAGGTTAGGACTCCAGCATGTGAATTCCTGGGGGACACGTTCTACCCGTAACACTGCCTGAGATAAAGCCATCAGAGCTGGACCTTTCCACATCACTAACTCCATTTCTCCAGCTGATCATCAAGCAGTGGCGCTCACCTGACATGCCAAAATGTGCTTAATTAGAAGAAAACCACACTGGTCAAACGTAGGGACTGTTGCGTCCTTCCCTCGCGGGGGCCATCCCAAACTGCTGAATGCAGCCCCCTGGAGGACAAGCTGGGGCTTAGCTGGTTCTGCTCACCTGACATGCCAAAATGTGCTTAATTAGAAGAAAACCACACTGGTCAAACGTAGGGACTGTTGCGGCCTTCCCTCGCGGGGCCATCCCAAACTGCTGAATGCAGCCCCCTGGAGGACAAGCTGGGGCTTAGCTGGTTCTACTTGGTGCCCTTCTCCACAGACTCAGTCTGTTACCACACACACCTTCCTCCAGTCATCACAGAACACGTTCAAAAGTCACCTGAGATCTTTAACACGCCCTCAGGAGAAAAGCGGTCCCTCCGGGCTTTCAAGGCAGAAAAGCATAAAAGGCTCTCCCTTCCTCCCCCTCCAACTGCCAGGGTCCCCAGACACTATCCCACCTTTGTGGTGGGAATTTCCTAGGCTCCCTTACAGCTGAGACCCATGTGGCAGCTCGTTCCAGGAAGGCTGGCCACCCCTGATCCCCACCAGCTTCCTCCCAGCCAGGGCAACATGGTGTGAAGGCAGACATGACACGCTGGCCTCAAGACCCTGTGATGTCCTGCTAAATGAGCCCCTTCACCTTGATTGAGCGCCTCCTGCAGCCAGGAGCTGTTGAGGCACTGAGGCTGTAGCCAAGAACAGAGACCCCTGCCCCGCCCCAGACCGGCCCCCAGACTCGAAGGCTGGAGGTAAACACACTACTTCTGCTGTGTGTCAGCCCCGCTGTGTGGTGTGCATGGCTGAGCTGGCCTCGACTATGGGCCACCAATAAAGAGAAAAAAGGAATAATGCTCAGAACAGATTGTTGGGTTGGGGCAGGGGTCGTAGCTCACAGACGACACCAGCAGTCTCCCATCTTGAGTGTATCAGGGCCCTGTACGGTGGGTTGTGACCGGGGTGCTACCCCTCATTCCAGAGGGTCTGATTTGAGAAGAGAGAGACAGGGACAGGCGTTTCCACTAGCTGTGGCCTTGTTCCTCACATGTGGCTTGACAGCCCTCAGATTAACTGGACTGAGGGACTTTAACACATCTCAAATCCAGGAAACGATCATTTAAACTCAAAGGATCAGTTTAATTCCTGGAGTCCACTCCAGCAACACCTGGTTGCTGGCCCTGTGATGGGAACCCTCACAAGCTTCGGGCACTGTTTTCAAACTAGAAAGTTGTGTGTTTCATCATCTGACTCCTGCATGAATAAGATGTCCCTCTACTCGCTGGGAAAACAGACCCTTCAGGAATTAGGGAAAACGAGGAAAGGGAAGGAAAAGGCCAGGGATGTTTTACAGGAGCAACAACTACCTCATGGGGCTTACCTTTCTCAAATGAGTTCAGCTTAAATCCAAAGTTCTGAAACAAGCTGTTATTTAATCAGGGCAGCTCAAAATCAGTTGTGTACTCACAGAGGTTTTATAGCAAGAAAAACAATAAAATTTTCATTTAGGAAAAAAGTTAGTTGAACACCAAAAAGAAAAAAAGTGACAATCTTTAAAAGAGATTAGTCTGCTATGGAAATATCAAGGGTACACACAACCTCTCCATGCTGGGGAAGTTTTAGAAGACTGTGTGGTGATCTCCCAGCATCACACAATGTTCACAGTGTCACATCAGCCTCGTTGTGGCAGAAGACTGCCCAATGGCCTACTTC